ACGCCCACACGGAAGCCCCATTGGCGATGGCCTGATTGACAGGCTAGACTCCACCCCTTCGCAAGTTGACAGAAGATGATGTAACTGCCACCCCTAATCAGCCCCGTAATCACGAGTGTTGTCTGTGAGTTTCGTGTGGCCACTGCAGCAAATGATCAAATAAGTGGAGAGAGCCGCTGTGGGAAGGACACTGGTGTCAGATCAGAAAAAAAAGGTTGGGGAGAGAGAAGTGAGGTCTGAACTTGGCTTCCTCAGATTTGGGCCCCCCTACCCATGTCTCCACCCCTCCTTCTGATTTTGCTGCAGATTTGGGCTTTGAACACAAAAGGGGTGGATTCCCATCTTCTTTGCTGTGGCCCAACCTACTAGTCCCAATATTGGCTTTTGTTTACCTGTAGTGGTACGATCCCAATTTGATCTGGACATACCACTGCCTCTCATGAAATAACGTGTTTCTCAGCTTTCCTGGGCAGGTTTCTAAAGGGAGGAGACACGGCCACCTGAGTAAAAGATGGACCGGTTGGAAAGCCCCTCGGTGGGTGACTATCACCTCAGGAATGAAGACTGGTTCTGGTTCTATGGAGCTAAGTCACCAAAGCTACCCCAAGAATCTCCTCCAGCCTGCTATGTGAGAGCTAAACTTCCCTTTTTGTTAAATCTCTGTCAATGACTGTAACCATGGCTTGGTGCAAAAACACCAACCTCCCACCAAAAACCCCACCAGCAATTTGAACTATATGTAGCATGTATGATACGGCTTTTCAGCTCCTTTATTTTAAAATAAGTGCTATAGGCACATGGTATGGAATCCGACAGGAAGACAATACACAAATGGTCACCAGGCAAACAAAAACTGCTTACCATGCTTAGTCATCAGGGAAAAGTTAGTCGAAACCACAATGGGATGCCAATTTCCATGTATTGAAACAGCGAAAATGAATGTGAGTGAACTACAGAATGTTCCGGCATCTGTAAGAGCTCCCAATAAAATGATTACATTTTAAAAGAAAGAAAGAAATACCAAATTGGGGGTGAGGGGGGGCAACCACAACAATAGCTGAAATAAAGACTGACCATATCAAATGTTGATGATGATGTGGAGTGGAGGGCTGGCACGCTCTCATGTTACGGTGGGAATGGGAAACAGTACCAGCACTTTGCAGGGCAGTTTGGCAGTTTATTAAGAAGTGAACCATGTGATCTAGCCAGTTCACTCCTAGATAGTTATCTAAGAGAAATTTAAAAGCATATATATGTATGCCGCAAGACATGTAGGCTTCTACACATGATCGTAGCCTAAAGGCCGAGAAGCGATGACGTGGAGCCTCCTTAGAGCAGCTAATTTTTGGTCATCCCTCAAACAGAAACACCTTCAACATCTATCAACATGTGATAAACAAATTGTGGTACATGCATACAATAGATTACTACCAGGACATAAAACCAGAATGAGATAGATCCATATCCGTATGTACTCACATGGATGGGTTTCAACATCATCTCCCTAAATTATAAAAAGTCAAGCACCCAAAACGAATTGCTCCATGATTCATTCCATTTATATCAATTCCTCAATAATGCAACCTAACCTACAGGGACAGAAAGCACATCGGTGGTTGCCTGGGGGTGGTGGTGGTGAGGTGTGTGCGTGATGGGTGTAGGGTGGAAGGATGGAGAGAGGAAGGATGGGTGGATGATCAAAGAGAATGAAGAAGCTTCTGGAGGTGGCAGCAATATTTACCATCTTGACTATGATGATGGCTGCAAGGGAGCATCTGTGTTGAGTCTTGAAATGAGTTGAGATGCATCTACGTTTAAATAGGTGCATATAATTAAAACCTCAATAAATTTATCAATAGACCCATAAGGATATTCCACAGAAAGTCCCCTCCACTCCCTGTCATAAGCATCCAGTGCACCCAGGACCAGCCAACAGTTGTGGGTTGTTGTTTTTTGTTTGTTTGTTTTTTTGAGTTGCACTCTTGGGTTTTATTTTATTTTAGTTTATTTTAAAAATCATTTTAAAAAAGAATAATTTTATTGGGAGCTTGTACAACTCTTTTTTTTAAGTCATGTTATCGGGGGCTCATACAACTCATCACAATCCATACATACATCAGTTGTATAAAGCACATTTGTACATTTGTTACCCTCATTATTCTTTTTTTTTATTATTTTATTGCGGGCTCATACAATTCTTATCACAGTCTGTACATACAACCATTGAGTCAAGCACATATGTACACCTGTTGCCCTCATCAATCTCAAAACATTTGCCCTCTACTTTAGCCCTCAATATCATTTGCTCATTTTCC